CGTCAACGCAACTCAAAATCGGCAGGTCCTCCTCCTCCTCCTTTCTCCTCCTCCTTTCTCCTCCTCCTCCTCCTCCTTTCTCCTCCTCCTCCCCTCTATTTCTCTCCTCCTCCTCCTCCATCATTTTTTTTTTTCCCCCGTCAACGCAACTCAAAATCGAGACCGTCTGACAAAGCATATGGTTTGGATCGCCGCGCGATCTTTAAACCACCAGTACTTGGCCCAACTATCGGCCGCGGAAAAAAATAGAGTAGAAACGTTTCTAGTTGGATGAATTTGGGCGCTCCTGTAGTGGCCCGTACGTTTCCTAAAATCGCATAGCGGTAACGGGCGCAAGTACTGGTGGTCTTAAAGTTTTCAGATCGCATCATCAAGACAATAGTTGATGATTATGCAGGCTTACCTCAGGAGCCTACTGGACATGTCCATAGGCAGACCAAACATCTCATAGTCCCAAGGGCAGAGTCTATAGGATGTCTCATGTTGAGTTGGATGAGCTAAGGAAGCAATTAGAGTCACTAACTGAGAAGGGTTGGATCAAGCCCAGCACATCTGAGTATGGGGCACCAATTAGTTCTCCTTGTTCCAAAAGGAAATGGTGAACTTAGGATGCGTATTGACTAAAGAGCCTGAACAAGATCACTAGGAAGAGCTTAGAGCCTTTGCCTAGGATCGATGACCTATTGGATATGGTGCAGGGCTGTAAAGTCTTCAGCAAAATCGATCTGAAGTCCGGGTATCATCAGATCGAAATGGCTGATGTTTATAAGAAAGCCTTAAAAACCCGGTATGGCACCTATGCGTTCCTGGTCATGCCCTTTGGGTTGTGCAATGCACCAAGAATGTTGTTGACTACGCTGATCATCTAAAAAACGTTCTGCGGATTCTGAAAGAAAAAATAAATACAAAATAAACACAAAAAAATCATATTTTGGTACATCTTCTGTTTTGTATTTGGGATGTGATTTCTGCAGATGGTCTTTCCCCAAAAGCTTCCAAAGTGGCTGTTGTTAGGGATTGGCCACAGCCACAAACTGTTAGGGCCACCAGGTCCTTAACAGGTGTCGCCTCTTACTATAGGAAGTTCATCAAGAACTTCTTTACGGTGACCACTCCCCTGACTAACCTATTGGCCAAGGATGTCCCTTTCAGATGGCCACCACATGCCAATTGACTTTTTCCAGATTAAAGAAAGCCTTGACCCAAGCACCTGTGCTGAGGTTGCCTGACCCTACCTTGTCATTTGTGTTGACCACAAATCCAAGCCAGTCTGGCCATGAACAAGAAAATCAAGGGTTAGAAAGTTCAGGCATCCACTTAAGAGAAAGAATTGTTCACCCTTGTGTGTGCTCTCAAACAATGGAAGCACTTCTTACTGGGAAGACACTTCAAGATCTACTCTGACCATTCGACCTTGCAAAGGATGAAGACTCGGAGGAGTTAAATGACAAGTTGGCGAGGTATATTCAGTTCATTGATTCCTTTGAATTTGAACTGAAATACAGAAAGGGATGTTATAACACAGTAGCTGATGCTCTTTCTCGCAGGCATGATACCTTTGTTGCCATTGCTCATACTTGCTCATTTGGAGACTCCACACGCTAGGTTATTGCTAACGCGTTGTTTGCTTTCTCCCTGTCTTTGGCCCTATTATTAGCAATTTGCAGGTTTATCCCAATTATGAGCTAGGCTACGCCTTGACTTCAAATCTTCTATACACCATCAGCGAAGGAGAAGAAGGCTTCTACATTCCTAATGATCACAAGATCACAACTCATCTGATTTCAGAGAGTCATTATGCTCGAGGTCACTTTGGGTTCCTAAGGACTGAGGGCCTCGTTAGACCCTCATTTGAAAATCCTTGGGAATTAGGATGAAGTCCTTGGAAAGTTTTCTGTTTTCGGCATCGTCATTACACCGCATCCTAGGGGGTGGATGTTCGTCGTGGTGTGATGATGTCCGCGCGTCGTCGGCGTGGTCCAGTGGCGGCAACAGGGAGGCCCACCGAAGGCTACAAGGTTGGGGGAAAAAAATTGACGCGAACATCCCGACTCAAATTTTGATATTTGAAACCTTCGTTGTGACGCATCCACCCCAACGGCCTCTAGGCGGCTGGAGTGCACACTGGAGCGAAATGTCTGTACAAAGGAGTATTAGCGAGCATGGCTTATTAGGCGGGCATTGGAACGTACGCAGGCGTAGCGCCAACGGTAATCGTCATCCCGCGAGACGTCGCCAACGGGTTCCACCTTCGTATTCGGGTCGTCCGTGACAATCCTGTGGCCCGCCATAGCTGACTGTGGACGCCACGATTGCGTGAAGCGTGGGATTCCGTGAAGCGCGGACAGTGCTGCCGCCATCTTCGTCGAAGTGGAGACAAGGGAACGAGGGCACCAGAGAGCGAAAAGGTGTTGGACATCCTTGGCGATAATGACTATCCTCCCATGGAGTGGATCGTGGTGCCTTTTAGACGGACCGATCAAATCGCCAACAAGGAGAGATTTGACAAGCAGAAGGTCGCCACAAAAGCGGTGGAGAGAGTTTTCAGAAGGCTGAAGGGGATGTGAAGGTTTTTCCTCCAAACACACAAACCGAATACGGACACTCTCCCACAAGTCGTGTGCATTCTGCACAACATCCTCCTCGACGCCGGCAGCGATTGCGACAACAACTTGTTGTGGGAGGTGGACGTGAATGGTGTGCGCCTGTGAGTGGACTTGGGGATGGATCACCAACCCCACCCCATTGTAGAGAACTTCAATCGGCCCCGGGCGCTAGCCTTGCGTGAAGCACTTCCGGAGCACATAAAGCGCAAGTGACCGTTGACGAAGACTCTCCACGACACTACCTTGGTCGTTGCGCTCTGGAGGAGGACGACCGTGCTGATGT